TATGCTGATTTAGTGAGACCTTTTCAGCCTCCCTGCTGGTGTTTTTATCTCACCCTATGCTGGGAATGTTTGTCCAAGTCCGCCCTTTTTCTTCGCAATCCTCTTCATCCAGGTCCTACCAGAGTTTCTCTCTTGACCGGTAGAACCAGTCTCTTGGGGCTACGTTCTACACTCTGGTTTTTGATAGCACATACTTTAGTCTCATTCAGCTAGCCCCCAAAGTCTAGATTCTCAAGGCGGATGTAAAACTAACTTGATTCTGCAGCTTCCCTTATCACTGTTTGGAATGTGTACCGAGTAAATCTCGTGGTTAAACCTTTGCTTCACGGACCGCGTCTGTGATCAAGTTCATGTACTATGAGCCAACTATTTCTGATCTCTATCGATTCTCTCGGGCTTCTATCCATAAGTCCAAGTTTATGACTTTCCTATGTCATAATTTCATGCGTGTAATTTCTCAAATGTAATGGTTGTTTAACTAGTTTTGATTAGGCTCACTATAGACGTTTCTTTATTAATATTTTATCCAATCATATTGGGAGTTATGAAATCAATGCTAACAAGAGTCTGTGTCTAACAGACGTGAACCACAGGGACCAGGAAATCATTAGATTGAGGCATATATTATTTCAACACATTTACCCATTAAAATTATTAGATAATTACTTTCCTATACTCAATAACAGAATGATGAAAGATTGCTATTTGGGGCCGGATAAAGAGAAAGACCAATATATTCGGTTCCTGATTATATCCTTCTGTTGGCTTGTAAAAAAGTTGGATGATATACTGAGGAAATAGGACTTAAGAACAATATATGACTAAAATTCCACACTTTATTCAGCCGTGCCTTATTTTCTAGAATTTTCCGACCCCATTTTCTAGATCAGGCTCCTACTAGATTTTGTGCTTATTTTGTAATGTGTTTGTGGGGGAGACCTGCTGACTTGTCTAGAAGAGATAATGTGATCTAAAAACCGTTTTTACAAACAAAAATACTCAATTGCATGTCTGTGTCTAAAAACCTGAACTCGCTAAACAAATGGCTGAATCAAGACACTCAATAAACTGTATAAAACACAATTTTTATTTGTTTTCAGGGAGTTCACATTAAAAGCGTAAGATTAGGGACTATAGGAATTAAAAATTAGCCAACATCCTAAATAGTAGGAATGAGGAGAGCAAGAAGCGTCAGTGAACATGAGGGGCAGACTGGATTAGCCTCGAGTCTAGTTGTGGCTGTCACGCCTCTCATGATATGAACATTACATGCACACAATCGACACTAGCGAATACCTAAGCATGAGTCAACACTAGGGGTTAGTATGCTATTTTTCGTTTATAAGTAAAGTTTTGAGACTACCAGGAAATCCGTTGTGAGATGCTTAAAGTGATGAAGGACAGTGCAGCGTATAATCACGATAGGTTGAGCACTATACGCTGCACTGTTATCGTTCGAGTCCCGATGGGGGTATTTATAAGAAATAGGCTAGATCGAAACTACAGTGTATCCTGGATAAGAATATTTTTCGGGAAGCAAAGCTATATGGAATTCAATGGAAAAGTCATGTCTACTCATATCATTGTTGGGAAATTCAACTAGCAGTCCTTCATCATCTTAAACAAAATAGGGTGAATACATCTTAGACGTTATTTATGTCAGGAGACAGCTGCCACCAAATTCACTACCAATTAGTAAATTGGTTTGTGGTTGCCAACCAAATCGTGGGATTACTCATTAAGATCAGTGAGACCATTTCGCGAATTCCTTCCAACCAACTTTTTCTGTTCATTAGATTTCTTTTAGGCTGGATATCAATGGTATTTCGAATCCCGCGATTTATTCTATATTTACCAAGAGTGACCAGCCTTTCTATTGATTTACAGTTGATTTCATGTCTCATCCGTTCGGATCTTTTTGCATCCATGTTTTTGTGGAGGCTATGATGTCCCTTGGCCTAGAGTGATTTTTTTTCCGATTTCGCCAGCATACTTTTGTTCACAATTGCTGCTGCTGTTTCTTCATCTTCCTGACATGCTAGGCAATCATGTTTTATTCTCCTGTGTGATCACCTGTTAACTCCATTTTGCTAATAACGTTCGCTTTTTTTTATTTTATTTTTCTGGTATCCATATTGTCTTCTTTTAATAATATTGTTAGAGGGACCTTCATTTCGTATGAAAGTGCATGAAGAAGAGATTCGTTGGTCGATCTCA